AACGGAACAAATGGCTACTTCATCACGGACGAAGGTTTCACCGGCTTGAACGTACGACGACGAATCGAAGTCAGCTGACATTGGTTTCTTCTCAGCCGGTTCCTCGGAAGGCTGTGGATTGACTTCATCCACAGTGCGTTTCACTCCTCTAGAGGAGCTTGAGGCAGAGGCCGATGACGCTTCTCCAGCCGGTTCTATGATATGGGACTATCGAGGACCTGTTTCAACAGTTCAGGGACAATCTCTTATCATGTCAAGGCCGTCGGGCAATCTTTCTGGTGGATGCGTCGTCGAGGTGATGGGCCATAGTCAGACGGGGTTAGCCGCGACTTATCAACCGGTGGCTCTGGAGTTTCTGCAGGAGGCATCTCTTGATCAACTGCCACATGCGACGGGCTCTGGGCTGAGGCTCCGGACGCAGCTCTTGCGCTTTGTCGGACGCCGACATGGGTCCGGATTGAGCGGTCGCGGGCTCTGGAGGCCCTTGCTCTGACGGATAGGATTCCGGTGTCAAGTCGATGTATTGACGGCTTTTAGGCTGACGGGATTCCATGAGATTTTGACGCCTAAAAACTATGTGTGGGGTCTCTATCAGTTTCAGTTCATCCTGGGTAGACGGTCGAACCTGTTCAGGGGCACATCGGAAGGTTTGACGCTTGTGTATGATGACTAATTAAGTTTCATAGCCTAGAGGGCCTAGAACCACAGCAGGGCCACACCAACGGCCTGTCTTTTCGAGATGAAGAAGATGAAGAAGAAGAAGAACAACAAGAGCAGCGAGGCTTGCAACTCTAGCGCAGCTCTACGGGCAGTTTGGCGGATAGCCACTTGTTTGGCCACAGTTGACTCGTACAGAGATACCGTTGCGGGCGCAATCTCCAAGGGTTCATCCAACAAGTTTCCCGGAACACGGGGTTCTTTCCAAACACGAACTGTGAAGGGGTCATCCCATACACTTGGATCAGTTGGTTCTTATACAATGCGCAGCGTTGACACACTAGGCCATTCTTCCTGCATGGGATTTGGGGAGATGCTCGGCAAGAAGCTTTGTCAAGACCCGTAAACCAACCGCCATGGACCTCACGCTTGCCTAGTTGCCAGCGGGCGTCAGCCGCAGTGAGTTTAAAGGCGGCGCCGCCCTGTTCCATGATTGCCGTAAAGGCATCGGCCACGTTGGCGCGAGCGGGCGCGCAGACCACTTCGCTTGGCATGCCAGCCCACGAGACCCAACGCTCCTGGAAAACTTGGCGAATGCTTTGGGCGGTTTCCTTTTTGAACTGGAACCATCACCTGCAACGAACTGGCGTAATCTATCGTGTTCACCGTGGCGAGTTACCCGGCCATCCGGTCACGTACTTGATGTCGACGCCTACAAGTGCATTGAACTCGACAACCCGCTGGACCTGTGCTGGGAGAGCAATCTTAGGGGTCTTATGAGCCTGGCAATGATCGCGCGCAAAATTCTGAGCAGCCTCAATGGCGGCGCTGGATGCCCCACCATGTTTCAACACACGCATGAGTTGTTGGTTAGTGGGATGGCCTCGAAAACTATGGAATCTGCAAAAGCTAGTCTTGATCTTGTCCGCGTCTTCTTGTTGGTTTAGCTCATCGATGGCGTGGGCAGCCAGGCGTTCTGAGGCCGACTCATTCAGCACCTGGAGGCAGTCGCTTAGTGGCAAATCCCTGGTCACTCGGAGCGCGGCCTTCACAAAAGCCGGAGTATATTTGGCAGCGTGCTTACTGATCGACCTGATGCTCGGCCAGTGGCCGGCCACACTTTGATGTGACTTATGGCATTGGCTTACCAAGACTTTTCATGGCAGTGTGTGAGACCAAAAGGCGGGTCGCCTAGCGGATCAGAGGTCCACCCGGGACGCACAGGCCATAGCGACGCATGTCAACATGCACTTGGTGCGTACGATCCATCAACTTTTGCATTGAGGCATTCGGCCAAGCTACTGAACCCCTAGGGTGTTCGAACATGCGTTGACCACCTAGTGACGACTGAAGCAGTTCCATGAGTTCAGCGCAGAAACGGATGAAAACATGTGTCCATGTTTCTTTGGATACGACATCATGAGGGTTCATGTATAATCGGCTGATTTCAAATGCCACCACCCACCCGCCCACGTACAAGGCGGGCAAAGCGCTGTAGCAGGGCCGGTTTGGCGACCCTCACGACTTCGAACAAGCGATTGCGGTCGGCTCGCCTCCTAAAGTCCCACCCACTACACAGATCGGCCGAAAGTGTCTTGAAACCCATCTCGGCGCCCTCTAAATGCAAATCTTGGGGGAGAGAACACCTCGATAACATCGAACTCAGTGTCAGTGCTATCACGGGAGGCCTTCACTTGGGCCATCTGCTGTCGATGTTGTTTCTCGGACAGCTGCATCACACTCAGCTGTTCCTCATCGGCATCGGCGTGAGCCGGGGAAGGCAAAGGTGCACCCCGTCGAATGCGAAAGATGTCTGACCTGTCCATGGTTCGGTGCCTATCGGGATGTGAGCTACCTCAGGATCAGTCCAACGATCACTGCGGTCCCTGGTATGCGGAGTGAGCCGATCAACTTCGTGAGACGATCGGGAAACAAATGCTCGATGCTGACTGGACACTGGGCGTTGTGTGGTGTGAACAAAGAATTTCTACCCTTTTGATGTCGGATCACAAGACCTTCACGGGGGCGCAGCTCCCAAAAATCTTTCTTCTTGGTTTTGGGGGCTCGACGCAATTCGACCGAGAGGCATGGTGAAGACGGAGATTCTGCCTCCGGCTCTGACATGCTAGGCTTGGATCGCCCTGGGAACAATGCGTGAGCTCGATCAGGAAAGCTGGACGCGTTCACAGCATACTGGCCGGCTGCGTTCACTTCTAGTGGCACGGATCGCTTGTCAGCAAACAAGGTGAGCTCAGCAAAGTTGACTTCTGCGCCCAGAGTCTTGAGCGCGGGGCGTGACAGCAGCAATGGGGCATCGCCACCACTACAGCCCGGACAAAGCCAGGACGCCCAGCCAAGAACACTGGCGTCTCAATCACCTTGTTGCTCACCTCCTGTTCACCGTTCCCGTAGCGGACACGATTCTGCTCAGTCAGTTCCCGATGGACATGTACATTCTGCTGCTTCCAAATTTTGTTGAAAGAGTCCAGAGTGCGGGCTCCAACGATGGTCTTTCCGCAGCCGCTGTCCAGGATGGCGAATCCCGGACCGCTGGCCAGCAAAACCTCTGTGGCCTGTGCGCAGGCAGCTGCTGCGCAGACAAAACGGTGTGGGGTTGGCTAACTGATGACCCTGAGCTGGCAGTGTTCGCGGGAGCCTTGCATTCTCTCTGCCAGTGGCCAAACTTCCCACAGCGGAGGCAGCGGGTTCACTGCTTCAGCTCCTCCACCTGGACTCTGAAGGACCGACGAAACTCCTTGCCCGGCCCTTTGCCCTGTCCACCACCTCCACGACGGTCAGCAGGAAGGAACTTGTGGCTTTCCTGGACCATGTTCAGCTCAGCTCGACGCCCTTTCCAGGTCGCTGCCAAAATCTCGGCAGCTTCGTCCTCCTTATAGGTCTCGAAATCTGGAGCCTCCTGGGACTCCTCAGTCTCTTCCAAGCCATGTTCAGCCAGGAACAGCTCTACGTCACGGAATCTGTCGCCCACGGCCTCGAAGGAAGCGGGTTGCTCTTCCACAGCATGGACTGGCTGTCTTCTTGCGAGCCACGGTGTAGTCGGGGAAGCGTGACTGCATAGACTGTGAGAGGGCATCGAACTTCAAGTCGCCCTGAGCCCGAGCGAACCCTCCGACATTTTGGAGCAGTTCAACAGAATCCATCCCCTGCCTTCTTCGGGGAACTTGACGCCAGTCTTGCGAGCACGTTTGTTGAAGCACTCACGAGCCCGGGCGCACCATTGACGGAGGCTTTCTCCTTCTTTGGCCTTCAAGGAGTAAACGCTGGCAATGTTCTCGCCAATCTCGTCGGTGCGATCAAGCTCAGGCCAGCGCGCTGGTCTAAAAGGTCGAAGATCACCTTGTCTCCGCCCTTGACCTGGTAGTCCGACTACGTGTTCCACCACCTCTAAAGCACGACCATGCAGCAATGTCCAAATGAACGAGCCTCTTGCTTCTTCAGACAATTTGTCCATTGTCCTCATCTTGTTGAGCGCCCGCTGTTTCCACCGGCGGTATTCCCGGTGGTCAGCGTCTTCGCCTCAAGGTGCGAAGAGACGTGCCAGAATCCATGGCAGTGCGGTTGGAGACTCCAACAAGCTTCCAGCTTGTCGGGGAGCCGGTGTGTTACCGGCTCCGCTACCAATGTTGGTAGCTCACACCTGAAGACCGCATCCCTGGCGGTCCTTTTCTCGGGCATGAATGCCCCTGGAAGCGCGGTTGGCAATCAACATACATATATATACATATATATATATATTATATTATATTATATATATAATAGCGATCCCGCTACCTCAAAGACGGACCCTGACATGTCTGGGCATCCATGGTCTCTCACCCTGGCGAAAGATGTAGAAGTAGATGTCTCAGGATATTTAAGGCCCGAAGGGCCCAAAGGCCGTTAATGCCCTCCGACTTCTCCGGCCAAGCTTGGGAGAGGATCCGCTCCCGCGTGTTTGCGCAGGTACGAGAAACAAACTTAGGATAGGGTCACAGATGTTCACAGGCTCTGGGGTCACATTATACATTACAACATACATGGACCACATCCGTGCGGAGCAAGACTCCAAAAACCAATATTTGTCAATTGAGGTACTGGTCTCAGCTGATTGTGCTGATTGTGAGCCTGGTTGGCCACAGAATCAGTTCTTCCGGATGGATGGCTCAAGCTTCTGAAGACGACATCTGACGACACAACAGCCAAAACCACGATGCATCGTGATGCAGTCTTCTCAGTCGGCAGGACAAGGCGACGAAGGTGTTGACAACAGTTTTGCTAGACCATGGCGTCCCTGCGCATATAGCAACCACATCATTCTGACTTTTGAATCGTTGCCTGAAACTATGGGCGCTGAGGGCTCCAAAACCACGCAGGACTTTTCAGAGGTCGACCCTGTCTACTTTTGCATCGAATGTTTTATCATTTGCATTGTTCTTTTTGGTCGTTGGCATGAAGCCCTTCATGCCAATGCGCATTTTGGATCCATGTCACTGGGAAGGACCACCCTGCCCGACTGGTGCCTACAACTACCACTGTCAACAAAGCGAAACTGCAGTCCAAGTGGTGGACCTTACAGGCAGACCGAGGGCTTTGTTGAATCGATGTCGCGAAAAAGAGAACCTTTTGAGCAGCGATCAACACTACCCAAGTAACAATTTGAAGAAAGTGGTTGATATATTATACCTTCGCGAAAGCTAAACATGCAGCCGCGAAAGATTCGCGAAAGAGTGTGCGAACTTTTCATGTGCGAAAGCTTGTGAATGCTCGGGAAAACTTGCAAAAACTTGCGAAATGAGTTCCGTCTGCGAAAGCTTGCGAAAGCGTTTTTGCACAGAATGCAGTGCGTTAAAGCCAAAATGCAAGCTGCGAAAGTGTTGCGAAAGGAACTAGCAAAAGAAGAGCCAATAGAACAAATTATGCTCCTATGGGTTAAGATGTGTTTTCCAATTGAACAGGAGTACCTTACACCGCAGTTGCTTCAGGTGAGTGGTGCTGCCGCTGCTCCTGCTTGCTTGGAAGGTTATGGGCGCCAGCCGCACTGTCGCACGAAGTTAAGTTGCGAAAGTCAAAGACTTCGCTCTCTTGATTCAGAAACCGTTGACCAGGGATCTTGATCGACAGACTCGAGACGGCGGTACTCAATTCTGCAAGACTTCAAGGTATGCCTCATTGTTTGAGCGCCACTGTGGTGATAATCGGAAAGAGCATCAGAGGCTCAGCTGAACTGGACCATGCAGAGAGAGGCACTCAAGAAGCCTCGCAAGAGCCAAGGAGATGTATGCGGAAGGGGAAGTTTGACCCTTTGGATATGAAGACATGGTATCCAACATGCGGCGAGTCTTATGAATTTGAAACATCATGTTGGAGGCTCAGATGCTTTTTGATGCTTCTTCTCTAGGCAAGCTGAGACATGTAGTCCAGAGACTTGGGACCAAAGTTTGTGTCCCTTTTGCACATGAATCATTTTGATCACGTAAAGAGAGTATCAACAAATCACTGGGTCAAAAGCATGTTTGGCAGCGTCTCATTTCCTTTCACCCCAGGTGCCATCAGCCTACTCCAGGAGGTGGACGCACGGTGCCGCCCGCAGCTGGACAGCGCGGCAGAGGCGCTCAGCGCGGGGCAGGCTGGCATCCGTTGAACACGGATGGAGGTTGAGAGCCCAGAAACGTAGCGGAATGAAATCACGTAGAACCGGGGTCCAATCCTTTCTGGTTTGAAATCTGGGAATCTGGGCAAGTTTAGGAGATGACCGATGACTACGATGAGTATATCGTGCCGAAATGTGCGCAAGATGGTTGGAGAATTGTACTCCTTGTCCGGGTATTCGTTGCCAGACTCTGGTTTGCCTAGATGGTGTTGGACACTTGTAGACAAATCCAACGGATCCGAAGCTCTTGTTCTTTTACACGCTGCAAGCTGCGAACGAGCGGGATGATTTTGGGCTTAGCATGGAGTAGCCATGCGTAGCGCGTGGGTGGATCCTTTCAACTTGATTTGCCAGACCAACCCGAAGCTGGCAAAGCAGATGGAAAGCATCGGCCAGTGTATGGCCCAGCTTGCGGGAGACAAGGCCGCGGAAGAGAATCTCATTGATTTGGCATTCTTTAAGAAGGGCCTAAGGCACTGATGGACAAAAGAGCTGACTTGTCCGAAAGCTAGCCTCAGCTAGCTGGAGTTGCTCTTGCGATAGCAAGTTAAATGATGGGGTGGACAGTGGACGGCGCCTCAAAAACCTGAAATAATTGATTGAATCAATCTTATGGACATATTTTATCGCGGGTTCAATTCCCCCCTGCGGACGGGTGAGTGGGTGAGTGTGACAGGGTCTGATGCCATGAGCTTCTCATCTCATCAAGCTGCCTCGTGAATACTTTCCTATACTAATGCCACTCATCATCAGCTGCTGCTGCTTGCTGCTTGCTGGTTGGATTGCTCCAACCACGGTTTACAGCAACCATGGCTTACAGGAAACACCGTTTACGCAAAAACGCCAAAACACGGCTTGCGCCAACCACAGTTTACACCAAGCCACGGTCTACACAAACCACCGCTTGCACCAAAGCACGGTTTACAGCTTACACCAGCCACGGCTCAGTTTACACCAGCCACGGTCTACGCCACGGCTTATCCCAAATCAAGCTTTGCGCCAACCACCGTTCACACGAAACCACGGCTGTCACCAACCACCGTTACACCAAACCACGATTGACACCAAACCATACCCAACCTGTTTTCCCATAATATGCCAGGCATCGTCCGCTGTTGCTGCTTGCTGGTTGCCAACCACCTTTTACACCAACCACGGTCTACACCAAACACGGCTGATACCAAATCACGCTTTACACCAGCCCACCACCGCTTACACCAAACCACGGTTTACACCAAACCTGTTTTCCCATAACGTGCCAGGCGTCCTCCGCTGTTGCTGCTTGCTGGATACTGCTTATCGGTTGCTGCTGCTGCTGCTGCTGCTTCTGCTTGGTGTTTGTTCCCCAAACAGTGTGGACACACTTAGGGGTTCTTACGGTAAGGGTTGAGCAGCTGTGCTTAGATCGCTGGGGCGCGTGGGGGTGTGCGGCTAATTCGCTGCTATTTACGGTGCATTCATGCCTCTCGAAATTCTCGAGGTGCATTTCGACTGCGCAGGCTCGCGAGATCTGGGTGGCCGCGGCGGGCGCTTGTCGCGACTGTGCTCTCGTTGTGGCGCCGTGCACATTTTCGGCTATTTTCGGACATGGTGGTCACTTTTCGCGGCAGGCGCAAGGGGAAACCTCGTGTTTTCGTGGTCCAAAGTCGACTTTTCGTGATAGGCGCAAGGGATCCGAGCGGTTTTGCATCGAAGTGCAGTCTTCGTGGCAGTGTAGTACTTTGGTCATGGTCCGAGTCATGGTCATCTTCGAGGCGCTCTTTCGTGACAGGTGCCATGAATCGTAGCTTTTGGACTTGTGGCTCGTTTGCAGATTTCGTTGCAGGCGCAGTGCTTTGCGAGCCTCGAAATGCAGCGCCTGGTGAACCTCGAAGTGCAGATTTCGTGGCAGGCACTGCGCTTGGTGAACCTCGAAGTGCAGATTTCGTGGCAGGCGCGCTACTTTGTGAACCTCGAAGTGCGGAGTTCGTTGCAGGGCACATAACGCCCACACTGGCCCACTCCCACTCGAAGTACAGATTTTTTGGCAGGTGCAGCGCTTGGTGAATCTCGAAGATTGCAGATTTCGTCCAAGGGCACATAACGCCGACGCCCAATTTCATACATACTCTCACTCACGCTCACACTCACCATCACTCATTCACTCACTCACTCACTCACTCACTCACTCACTCACTCACTCACTCACTCAC